TGGTTTCAAGTGATTATCCTGCCTCAGCCTCCCGAGTAGCTGGGATTACAGGTGCCCACCCCCATGCCCAGCTAAGTTTTGTATTTTTAGTAGAGATGGGGTTTTACCATGTTGGCCAGGCTGGTGTTGAACTCCTGACCTCAGGTGATCTACCCGCCTTGACCTCCTAGAGTGCTGGGATTACAGGCGTGAGCCCCCACGCCTGACTTAGTTTGAATGAATTTAAAGGTAAATAGCCTCGTGCGTGTGCCAAGTGGCCTGCAGTGTGGACAGGGCAGGATGGAAGGGGTGCCAGGCGAGGAGAGCTGTGTCCGTGGTGCGTGGGCAGAGGGCACGTGTTGGCTGAGACGTCTGCCAGGCTGGGCGTGGGCAGTGACAATCCCGACCCCACAGGTACTGTCCTGAGTGCCGGAATGATGCTAGCGAGGTGGTGCTGGCGGGAGAGCGGCTGAGAGAGAGCAAGAAGAAGGCGAAGATGGCCTCGGCCACATCGTCCTCGCAGCGGGACTGGGGCAAGGTGAGGCGGGTCCTCCCCACGCGCCCGCGGCTCTTCCCCGCCTGCCAGGGCTCACACTGTTGTTCTTTGTGTCTGCGCCTGGGACAGGGCATGGCCTGTGTGGGCCGCACCAAGGAATGCACCATCGTCCCATCCAACCACTACGGACCCATCCCGGGGATCCCCGTGGGCACCATGTGGCGATTCCGAGTCCAGGTACCTGCGGCGTCCCAGGGGTCCAGGGGCCACGCGGGCTCGTCCTGCTTTTCTGGGGGCAGTTTTCTCCTGGCCTCGGCCAGCCAGGGGTCAAGGTGGTTACCAGGTCCCAGCAGTGCCTTGTCCGGCCGCAGAGGCGTATGGAACATGTGCAGGTTTGGGTTCACTCCTTATTTTACCAGAGACCTGAAATCAATCCTTGGGGGCGGGGGCTGGTGCTCCTCTGCTCGGAGGCACGTAAGGTCATTCCCAAAGCTCCTGTACAGGGAAGGGGTGGCAGCTGCTAAAAGGGACCTGTCTCAGCCCTGGTTGTGATCTGTCACTGGGGCAGCTCCCACCTGTGACTGGGCGTTGACAGTGCTGGGTGCTGTCAGCTGTGGGCTGTGTGTCATGGCAGACGAGACACTTTGGCAATAGAGACATTGGAGCCAGGTGGTTCTCTGGGGCGGGGCCATCCTGGGCGCTGCAGGGTGCTGAGCAGCGTCCCTGGCCCCCACCCACTTCACGTCACCCCAGGTCATGACAACCAGAAACGTCTCCAGACATCTGAGTGTCCCCTGGGAGGCAGAACTGCCCTGAGTGAGACGCTCTGAGCTGGGTGGACAAGCTGGGCCTCCTCATGGAGTTCATGGGGCCAGGCGTGCAGCGGCTAGGAGCTCCTGGGGCAGCACTGTATCTCTAGGGCTCAGCAGCCGGCCAGCGCCTCTCAGGGCATTCTGTGGAGTGAGTGGCAGGCTGGACCTCAACCGGCCCAATG